TCGATATAAATTGTACGGTTTTTATAGTGTTTTAGTTTTGTTTAATAAATATTGATATAAATCGAACCCGAATTAATAAATAACGTTACAATATTAAAGTCGCCACCAATGCCTTTTATTCCGTTCTTCATGAAGCGATTGAGCGTTATGTTCCATCTAAAGTTATGCTTATAAATAATGATACATTCCCTAAATGGATGAATTATGAACTTAAATAACTTATCCGTAGAAAAAAATTTGCCCATATGGTATATAAAAAAAGTAATTTGCAAAGTGATTATGCGAAATTCGCGTCACTACGTAAAGAATACAAACAGTTAAGTGAAACCCTCTACAATAATTATCTGGCCGTTATTGAATCGCGTATCAATTTATATCCGAAGTACTTCTGGCAGTATGTTAGGGATTTTCGAAATCAGCGTTCAGTACCTAGTATAATGCAATACAATGACACAACAGTAGAGGATGGACAAGCTATGGTTAATCTTTTTGCAACTACTTATGTACACAATGATCCCAATTTTAGACATACTTATCACCCGTCCTCGTGTTCTCCATACAAGCTCTTACTATGAGTTATACCTCTGGTCCGGATAAGATTCCAAATTGTTTCTTAAGATGTTGCATTTTTTCGCTTTGGTTTTCGCTGCGGGCCCGTTTTATTTTTGTTATTCATCAATGATATCGTGGATGTAATCGCACATTGTGACTGTTTAATGTATGCGGATGATTTAAAAATTTTTCACTCTATACAATCTGAATTAGATTGCATTAATTTACAGTCAGATCTCAATCGTATATCTTCGTGGTGTGCAACTAATAGACTACAATTGAATGTAAAAAAGTGTGCGGCAATGTCGTTTTATAGAATAAAATCCCCTATTACATTTAACTATTACCTAGACAATCAATTGTTACAAAAGAAATCTGAAATTCGTGATTTAGGAGTTATTTTCGATCGACGACTAAATTTCAATTCCCACATTGACGCTACTTACAATAAATTAATACGCAGTTGGGGTCTTGTTTGGTTTATTGCAAAAGATTTGAACGTACAATGTTTGAAACTACTTTTCTGTTCAATTGCTCTATGCCATGCCGACTACGGATCGGTATTGTGGTCTCCGTTCACTGACCAAAATCGTAAGAAGCTTGAAACAGTACTGAAGAAATTTCTTAGAACAATGGAATATAAGCTTGGAATTCCACATATCCAAGGAGCTTACGCATCAATTATAGATCGGATTTGGGCCTACATTCCTTGGAAAACCGATTGCCGACCTATGTTTTTTACACAAACTTCTAAATGATGCTATTAATTGTTCTGAAATTCTTAGTTTGGTGGATTTTTATGTTCCTAGGACTACATGCGTCACCAGAAATATACCAGGCTTCAGAATTAAACAATTTTCGAGCAATGTGTCTAGGAATAATCCTTTAACAAGAATTTTGTCCGATGCAAACTATTTTTGGAAATTGCCGTGGTTTAATCTGTTTAATTGTGATTATCAGGCTTATAAAATTAAGCTCAAACGTAATATTGATTACTAAATATTTGTTGGTTTTTAATCTTTTGTGTGATTTCTAGTTTTCTATTTGTGTTGTTTTTTAGCGAAGGTTTATTAGGTTGAAAATCAATTTATGTTAAATTAGCTAAGAACATGTTTTTTTTGTGGTATTTAATGTAACACGTGAATTTCGTAAATATATTAATATTAGTAAAAAAAAAAATTTGTCACCAAGGCACGCCGGCCAGTGTCGTAACATACAAACAGCATTGTTTGGTGATAAAAATTATTCCTTTTATAGGACGAATGTAAATAACATTTATTAAAACAGTAGTAGAATTAATATTTTGCTAAATGTAATAGTTGAGAATTATATATTTACTTGTCTGGTCGAATGTCACCCAAAAATATGTGAACTACTATCAAGCTAATAAGTGTAGCACATTTGAGTTTGCTAAATTCAGCTGTTCGTGTTTCTTGTAATTACAGTAGTGGTCCAGGCCGAAAGCAGCCATAGAGCATGTACTGTTAAGGCCTAGATGATCCTGACGATGTGCGGTGTAAGCGATATTAACGTTTATGATTGCTTGACTTATTGGTTATATCGCTGTGCGGGCTGTGTCCCGCATATATGTAAGAATTAATTTATGATTACTGCATTAGTGCGTATAAAAAGATGCCACTATCTCTACCACCGAAAAGGTAAACGGGTGTCTAACACGTGGCACCATATTTATCTTACTGCCATTTTGATGCAAAAGTGTTTAAAGAATGTGTTAGAAACAACCTTCTGACGAGTTTACGACTATTTCCTTTGATGTTATAAGAAAACTGCTAAATAAAACTTTTAATAGGTAATCAAACAGAAAATTGTAGGTTGAAAGACATAACTGTTTCTAATGAAAATAATGGATTAGTAAACATAATATACTCTTAACATATGTAGCTAGTTAAAAGTAATCCGTAACTTCATTTTATGTTCCCCAATCTAAAATTATCCGAACTGTGCATACACTATAAATAAAACAAGTGATGTAAATACATTTTTTTTAAATCATTACTGTTTTCTTTAAATATTTATTCAATTTATGAACGCTAGGAAAATGTTTAATTTACTTGTATTAATCTCAGGATAAACTCGGAAGTGACAAGAAAGTATGCGAGCAATTTAGAATGCGTCATGCGGTCGAAATTTATTGCGTTTTCATGGAAGGTTACGATGTTAAACAAAATATAAAAACGTTTAAAATACGTATTTGGTTCATTTTCACGTAATCCTGCTTCATCGCATTCCATTATGGTTAATGCATGGCAATACTTGTCATGCTATTCATGTTGGTCACGTTTCAAATTTGGGGATATCGATTTTAATAATTTTTCACAGTTTCCCTTACGTCTGGAGTACGTGAACATTCTTGCGGTGTTGAAATTAATGGCATTTTTATTCCTTTGTCTTAACATATTTTTATAGTTTAGTACCTGACGTTTTATTCACAACTCGTCGGAACTAGGATCGCAGTGGATCTTCATTTATATTTTATACTCACAAACTAACAGAGCAAATCTTTATAGGGGAGTCGATGGTGTCCGTCCGACCGTCCGTGAACAGGATAATTGTCGAACGCTTGGACCGATTCGGTTGAAACTTTGCACAGTTGACCTATATGCTACATGTAAAAAGTCTATTTAAAATGGGTCAAATCCAATGACCCCATGGGATCACGCCAATTTTCGTAATAGAGTAGGTAATTGAAGGTTAGAAATATTCACTCTATTACGAAAATTGTTCCTCTTCACCGGTAAAAAAATGTTTAACCACCTATTGTAAACTACAACCGATCCTTTTATTTTTCACCTGAAGATGACTGAAACGTCGAAACTAGTCGTGTTTTGATAAAATTATATATATAACTGTTATTAAATTTCATGGGGAAGGTATAATCCGTTTATTTCAATGCTTCTTCTTACCTGAAGTGGAAATGTTGAGTAGGTCAACCGCATTCGCCTCTTCTAAACTGACCGATGAGTGTTAATAATTGTTTCTACACTTTCATCTATGATTGATGTGTATGGAAAAGCACTTGTGGAACGATATTCAGCACATTTTCCACTAAATATAACGAATTACACGCTACATAGCTCGCATTGACTGCGTCACGCGTCTCTTCTGAATAAGTGAATGCGCGCGCACGTTCTCATTTTCACACCAAATGAAGAAAGAACTAACCAGCATAATACCGATAGAAGAAAATGAAGCAGTAGAGGAATTTCCGATTAAACATGAAGTATAGGTAGCCAGAAAATTGGAGATACTCAGGAAGTGAATAATCCTATTATAAATCTCTTACAAATTGGAGTTAGTAAGAGATTGATAACCATAGAGAGAATTGGAAATACAATGGAAGGGAAAGAATAGAAGAGTTTCGGAAAAGAACTTTGTAATGGAACCGAATTATCCCGCTAAAATTCTATTTAAATATTCCCGAATCCGAGCCTGGCGCGATGAAAAAGGTCAAGATTGCGCTTTGTTTCGTTTTCGTGGAACACGTGTTTTTTTCTTCTCTGCTCTACATTGAAATGGGCCATAATTTACAATAAAAGTGTCAAATATTACGCTATGCGAGCTATGCGAGAAAACTTAATGATCCATATCGACCCGTCTCGAGGCACGTTCGATATTAAGAATTGTTTTCGTCTAGGATTTGCCTGCAAAGGGGAAATTTAGGCAGAAGTATGTGTGCTTTTGTTGTGACCAGAAGTAAATCTTTACGTTGCGAATAGTGAGTGCAGCTTCGACAATTACAAAGGTGATGTACTCGTTTTATTTATCTCTACGTCTATGGCATCCCTCTAATAACGATATGACCGTGTTAAATTATTTGCCAATTTAACTTTATTCTCGTACAGCATTTATTATTGCCATTTATAACACATTCCAGATACAAATTGCAGTTTTAATTATACTGTTTCTACTGGGTAATTACTGACCGATTTACGTATTTTTGTTTATATTTAGATGCTGTATGTTCCCTTAGGGGCGATACCCAATACAAGTATGCAGAACTACATTTTAATTTATAATTGAATTTATTGCAGCACATTTCGTTTTTGTTTACCTGAATATGTTACTGTGTATTTACAGGGTGCCTTCATCTGGGGGCGAGTGACGTACGTTAGGTGGTTGATTGTTACATATTGCACTTGGCATTGTGAATTAATTACTTTTGATACCAATGTTTGCCACGACATGTTCCTTTGTATTGTTGTAATGTGATTGTACTAAAATTTATGCTCCTACTATTTATTTGAACCGGGTGATTATGATTATTAATATTTGGCGGGGTGACTTGCTTCGAATATTTACTGTGCTATATTTGATATTGATATTTGATACCGATATTTAATATCTCGATTTGACGTAGCAGAGGCTGGCTAAAGTTCAGAACTGACATACGCAGAGATTACCGGGTCTTCATCAAATTATATACCGGGTCTTCATCAATTACTGAGACCCACGTGACCAAATTTAAATTTCCCGCTTTAAATATTTTTTCTTTATGTTGGTAGACACGGACAGTTGGTTAAAACAAAATACCCAAATTGCATATTTGTTTATTTCACCTCCTGTCAATCTTTGCTTGTGTTTACCGTTTTTTTCGAATTTCTTTAACATTATCTTAAATCAACAGCCAAAACAGTTCTTTTCAGAGCTCTTAACGCTACGAAGTTATTCTGATGTAAGTTAACAATTTTTTAAGGAGAATTGTCATTAAGTTATTTTGAATTTTTAGTGTATCGCTGTAGGAAGATGGTGTTCACACCAGAGCAAGATGCTTTTATTTTAATGGCACATTTCCGCAGTGGTAACCGAAATCCTGATGGAACTTGGAGTATTCACTGCAATCGTGCATTGAACAGTTTTCCGAAGAGAACCCTGATGTTAATATCGACTACGATGTATTTAAGAACCACAGGTCACGTCTAATAACACGATATGAAAACAAGCACTGCATTTGCAAAGGGAAGTCAACAGGCAGACCGCTAACGAAACGCTTAGATACCTCCAAGAATTTTATGGCGATCGAATTATAAGCACTGGTTTGTGGCCTCCAAGAAGTCCTGATCTCACACCATTGGACTACTTTTTGTTTGGACGAATTAAAAATAATATATTTAAAAATCGACTGCACACACTCAAAGAATTGGAAAGGGCGATACGACAAGAAATAAACGATGTGACGCAAGATGAACTCGAACGTGTATTTGAAAATATGAAGCGTAGAGTGAATTTGTGCCTGGAAGTGAACGGTGGCCACTTTGAGCACCTTTTGTAACAATAAATAGTACAATATATTTCGTGTTTCTCTAAAATACTTAATTCGGCCTTCAAATATTACTGGGCTTCAGTAGTAACTTTCCTAGGGGAAAAAAATCAGGATTACCACTCGCGCATTTTTAGTTGCCTAACCACCTGCAGTCACGTGGGTCTCAGTAATTAATGAAGACCCTATATTTTATGTACTGTTTTTTGTTGTGTCTTTGAAAAGAGCCATCTTGCCGATATTGCTAATCAATTCGTTTAATCGATCCCTGTCATGTAGTGACCGAATATTGGTTTTGTGTCAGTCTTTGTTATGCCAGTGCAAATATGTTGACTGTCAACGCCTACATGAATTGTGTATATTTTGTTTATAATTATGTATGCGTGCGAGTTTGCCGTTGGTTACTCTGTTATTTATGTTATGTCATGACTTGTCTTTTGATCGGTTATTGTCAGTACTCATGGTAGAGAGCCTGGAGTTCGGTAATTTATAACCCGGCATTTTAAGACTAGTGGGTTGGACTGGCCCTAGAGATGTGCGAATGAATGAGTTGGGGTCCCGCTTAGTCGTACATGAGGGCGCTGGCTAGGCCCGGCCTCACTTGCGCAGGGATTCGCTAAAAGCGTGTTTGAAGGAGCAAGTTAAGGGAATTTTATGGCGTTTTACGTAATGTTTGCGGGCTTTTGCAGCTCTGATCCGATTTTAACAATGTAAGACTTTAATAAATAATAATAATAATAATAATAATTTATTGTCCAAACAGACTATCTAGTCTAAATACAGGACAAACTTAAATATTGTTCAATAAAAGTCGCACAGAAATATAGAAAAATTAACAAAAATGTAACAAAAATAATAATGATAGATTTATAACTAAAGCGAAAGAAAATTGTTAACAGAGTTATACAATAAACAAAATAAAGTCATAAATCAAAATACAATATTGGTAAATAAGAGAAATTGTATTAGTGCAATGGCAAAAGCAAAAAAGAAAAAGACAAAAATTATTGGATCATACTTATAAGGAATTTTAAATTAGTGTTAAAAATATCAACAGTATCGCATACCGAGTTATAATTATGACACATTCGATAAATTGGGGAATTTTGTAAGAGATTTGTTCTGCAATAGGGTAATTTAAAAGTTAGGAAATGCCTGGAGGAAGAATGAGGCACAGAGAAATTTAAATAATTGTGTAATGTGACACAATCAATTTCATTCCATAATAATTTGTACAAGAACGTAATATATAAATAAAAGTTAAGAAATCGGCAATACATTTCTTATTAGGATCGAAAGAACAAAAAAACAAAAGTTCGATCGATAAGTCTTTATGCATATTTAAAAATGCATTCAAAGCTGACAACCGCTTAATATGTTAAAAAGTAGTAATCTAACATAATAAGCCCTTTAAGGACTCGCCCATTATGTAAATAAAAGATCGATAAAAGCGTGGGGTTAATTTAAATTTTCAATTATATTTAATAGAGTTAGAGCACACTCAACACGCAACCAATCATAAAAAAGCTCAACGCAATTTGCACGAACTTGCAAATTTGAGGGTAGGTAATGTAAATGCATATTGCACGATTAAAGAACAATCGCTTAGTGCGGTTTTTTTAACAGAGAGAGAGTGAATTTTATGTTGATTTTCAAAAGTTACATACAGAGCGTCTCGTCTCGTTAACGTCTGGTTTTAAAGTTGCTGTTTTTCTTTGTTACGTCACAGGCGTACTTGGGCAACCATTTCTGGGCTTGCCCTTTTAGGCGTTCATGACGAGTAGCTTCATTCACTAAAACTGATAAATTTAAAAGTGGAAAATCATTCAATTAGCTAATGTTGAATTCGGCAACATGTAGATAATTTCACTTGACTACACCGCAAGCAGAGGGAAAGACACCGATTGCCCCTCCTTAGGAATCATCTTACTTCGAGTGCTTAGTTTCCTTTTGTCGTCGTGTATATATCAAAACTGTATAGCAAAAGCGATCGTTTACATAGTAACAAGCATTGTATTATGTTCTCAACTTATTTTGTGCTCCGTGTCCCATTTGAAATAAGAATGAAAATGTCATAAGAATGCACAATCATCTGTTTCACTTTTTTTAATCAAGTTCAAAATTTAGCAATCCCGCGCCATTACAGTTACTCCACAATTTTTATCAACTTTTTGGGACTTATTGGTATTGAGAGTTTTAATATCAGATTGCTTCCGTGTCAAACGCTAGTATTGCTAGTTCACAATATCATTCGTATTTCGTATATTTTATGTGCAGCGCGATTCACTACCCCTTTTATTTGTTTGTTGTGTTATTGTCCGTTACAGATTTGCATTTTAATTCAGATTTAGATTATGGATTTTTTTTTAATTTTAACTAACAAATTGGAAGTGGAATCGAAGATGGGACAAGAGAGGGAAATGCTTTAAATAGAAGAGGAAGTGTTTTAACGGGCGCCGAGAATCTTTGCCGTTCGCCTTTGGTTCGCTGCCCCCGCCGCCGTGCTTTCGCTGTTGGGTGGGGCCTGGTCCGTTTGTGGAGCCATGCTACCGGCTCGCCCGAAGTCGACGGTTTGGATTCTTCTAGAGCCGTAGTAGATCTCGCTTTGGCGCCATCTAGTAGTTATATTGCGATTTAAAATGACGGAAAAGAGAAAAAATATTTTGTTACGTCTTTCCGCGCATTTTTTTAAACATTATCTTTTATTTAATTGTCCTGATAACACGACAAAAAAATTATCTATTTTGGTACAGTCGCTCTGAAGTTATGCGCGTACATACACTTCGGTGATCCATTTTTATTTATATAGATATGGGTGCCATATAAAAGGATTTCTTCAAATATCTATTCTATATCTATATTTCGTCGATTCATGGCGTGTTAACTAAAAAACAGGTAGTCGCTTTAGGCTTTAAAGATTTTATAAAAAAGAGAGTGCTTGGTTTTCGTTGGGGCCGTTTCATCATTCGCGCTCGACGAGAACATACGTAAAAATCGAGTGGAGAAAGGCATTCTTAGCCAAACCTTCGGGGGAACTATGCAGATCGAGCGCTGCATGTTTAGATCGGGTATTGAATTTTTAGCCCATCTGTCGAGGTAAACCTACGTAATGTAAACGCGGCGATTTTTATCGCGTAACATGAAATTCTTCGCCAAGCTTTCAAGTCGAATCATGTGAGTTGTGTACGCCATTTTTGACATCGCGTGAAAATTCGTGTTCAATCCAAAGTCGTATAACCGCTGTATATAAAAGAATCCTTAGCCGCACAACCGGATTGTGCCACGAAATTATTGTCGGGGGTGCTTTTTAAATTCGTGACGAGTTGCTATTACAAGTAAATTAAAAAAAGTGACTGGTTTATGCAAAAAGAGGAACTTAATTACGTAGCGGTTGATTTAATTTTCAACCGCGAAGTGTTGCCCCGTAAAGCGTAAATGAACAAATGTATTTCGTAGTATTATCGGATTAGCGCGCTCTTCTTTAAATGAATTGTAACCACGAAAGCGTTGAGGTGTAAGGTGCAAAACGTTTCATTGCGCTATATTTGCAGTTATATTTACGTTTAAAACCAGTTTATCAATCAAATTTGTGCACCTATTTTGTTTATACGGGGATATCAGATTTTGAATAAAGCGGCAACCGATAAAAAGGTTAAAGACAATTAATTCATGCTTTTATTGGGTGTTAAAACCTTAAGCTCTAAGGGTAATTTTGGACACATCTATACTGCGGAACACTGGGAACTATTGCAGTAAAAGACACACGGCCACAAAAAGACATGTAAACGAAAGAATTAAAACATTGCGCAAGGGTTACATTGTTCTTGGGTCGATATCTAGTTTGTAGGCGGTAGACGAGTGGTAAGCACACTCGGCTGAGGAGCGTAGTGCATACTACACGTCTACCTCACTGGAAACGTATGGCTCCAGTTATAGGGAGCTAAACTAAGCGCATCTTACACACTTTACCCCATATAACTTCGCTAACACGTAGGCTATTAGTCTTATGGTATCTATATCATTACTTGGATGTAAAAAGTGAGAAATTTGCCATATTACTGCTCAAATCACGATTTTTTGGCCAGCATGCCGCGATCTTCGATTTTTGTGCTCATTGTTTTTGTTCAATATCTGGTAGACTATTGAAATTTGAGTTAAAAACAATTTTTTTTTTAAAAAACCGAACGGAATGGCTCTGATATTTCTGATTTTTCTCCTAATTACAAAAAAAATGTTTCCTAACGAAAAACTTTGAAAATTGTAAAACAAAATATTAAACTAATAACCAGTTTTTGATCACTGAAATCCATGGATTAATTTTACTTCAGATTTGTGACTTGTATCCGAAAGAACATCCTGATGTTAATTTGTTTTTTCATGAAACTTTGCATTCGCGATTTAACCGTGTTGATATGCAATTGAACTTGCGTGCGCGCTAACACTTTAGCCGAATTTTATAATGCGTCACGAACTTCACTTCATTTTGCTATATTTCCATAGAAATGATTTCCGGGGCTTTTCCAAAATCCGATTACCCACAGCAACCCTTCTTGAATTTGGGCCCATTGACAGTTTTCATTTTGTCGTTAACTTATACTTTCTTCCGCGATTAAAAAATTTCGAGCGGAAGACTCGCTGCACGTCTATCTCTCCCCTGTCCTCAATCTTACCGTGCGAGCTTAAAACGAAATAAATTAAAAGTTCGCGACCTGTGTCCTTTTGCCAATCGCAAGCCCTCATACTTATCTATTTCTCATCGTTCGGCTATGCAAAAAGGAACCGATGAAGTTGCACGGTTCATTGATATCTCTGCTCAAAACCCACGCATTCTAAACAAGCCCGGTTATCGCCATTTAACCGACTCGCACCCACTGTTCATATAAAGCGGTACATATACAATACTACTCATTCGTACTATACCCAACTAAATCCAACTAAAATCTAAAAAAAAACTAAACCCGTAGCCGGCTCCCGTTACACCGTCTTCATTAATATAGAACCAACCAAGAATAAATCAAAATTGCAAATATTTTATGCAGAAATTATAAGTTTGTTTATTCAAA